ACGGGGGGGGCGGGGGGGGCTCCTGCCGCTCTGGGACTCGGCTGTGTTGCCACCACTGGGGTCCCTGCTGCGGGAGCAGCGCAGCCTAATCCCGTTGAGCGCCGTGTCGTCCTCCATTACCCCCTGGGACGCCTCTACCTGTGAGGGAACGGAGGTGGGGGGTTAACTCCCTGTGGGAGCAGGGTCCCTGGACCAGCTGTGGGCACTGGGATGGAGGCTGCACCTTGAAGCTAATGCTGCTGGCGTAGGAGCCCTTGGGGCACATCTCCGGCCAGGCCCAGTCTCCCCAGGGTCCCCCACTGAACACGGCAATGACCGAGGCATCCCTCCCACCCAGGTCCCACTCCTGCCCCTGCCCTGCAGTGCCTGCAAGCCCCGCAAGCAGCAGCAGCAGGACCTGGCCCCACGGCATGGCTGCCCTGCCTGCAGCCGGACCACTGGGCTCTTATACCTAGCAGGCTGGCAGGAGGGACCTGGCAGCATCTCAGTTACCTTCCCAGGGTGCCCAGGCCTGTTGGACGGCCAGGATTAGCTGCAGGAGAGGGGTGCAGGGAGCTGATCCACGAGCTCTTTGTTTGGGTCCCTCTCCGGGCAGCTCACCTGGAGCCAGCGGGCATCCCAGTGCCAACCAGGGCTCAGGGCAGCATGGAGCTGGGGCACTTTCCCCTCCCACTCTGGGCTCCCACCATGTGCAAGATGCTATTTGCATTCTGACTTTTGCTCTTTCTTTCTTTTTTGCAGTTAAAATGAAGAGGCACATTCACCGATACCTCTGATGGAAATCCCTTCCCATCTTCTCTGCCCTCATTCCCCAAGTTATCCATTTCATCATGGCTTCACGCTTCATTTGTCCCAGCTTGCTTTTCAGTTGCACCCTCCTCTTTCAGAGGGTTATCATCTTACTGCTTAACAGCCACTTTCTGCAGTAACAGCTCTTTTAAGGATTTCTGAGTGTTTTTATTTCCATGAGTCTTGGATAAGAGACTTCCAGCCACCCCCATGACAGGACCTGGCTGCCCTTTTAGATGCTTCTTCAATTTCTTCTGCCTGGGCTCCTCAGTTTCCTCCTTCCGAAGTCAAATGCTACTGCGGGGGGACTGGTGACCTCTTCCCCTTGGGAGGATGCAGTTGCCATGCTGTTGTCCCACAAGTGGGATCCGGTACCTGGTGTGCAATAAGCCAATCTTACACACAGAGCCGAGATACTTATTTATCTCATGTTTGTGCAAAGATGGGTGCTAGGTGGCAATTCCACAAAGCCAGCACAGCACACAAAAGAACTACAGTGTATTTATATTGTTACATGATTAGCAAAAACCCACCTAAGTTCATGCTTATTGGTTAGTTATGTTCAAATTAGCCTCGCTTGCCATGTAAATTAGCACGCATGCTCCTTGCAGGTTTCTGGGAAGCAAGTCTTCCCAGTCTTGAGTTGGTGGTCGTGATCTCCCCCTGCCGCCTTTACCTTTCCCCTAGTTGCTGCAGTTTTTTGCTGACTTCTTGTTTCTTTGGCAATCATCTAGCCTCCAATGCCTTCTAGGGCAGTAAGTTCCCCTTTTATCAGTCTTCTAGTTCTTCTTCAAGGGCATAGTCGTTGTAAGGCATGCATTGTTCAAACAATGTAATCAGGCTAGTACAATGAAGACTACAGTCTAGGTATTAACCCAAACATACGGCTACAACGGTGGACCAAGCACTTGCTACTAGATCCCCCCCGGGGCTCAGACACGGCTGGGAGTCGAGCCTAGGGTCCCCGTGTGCCAGGCAGGAGCTTGAGCCACACCCGGCCGCAGAACAAGCCAGCCCGGGCCGTCCTCATTCCTCCCGCTCCGCAGCAAAAATCCCGGCGAGGGTGGGATTCGAACCCACGCATGCAGAGCACAATGGATTAGCAGTCCATCGCCTTCACCACTCGGCCACCTCGTCCTGCCCCACACCCCGCACGGCCCCGCCCCTCGCTAACCGGAGCGGGGCCCCGTCGCCCGCTGCCAGCGGGCCG